ATAAAAAAATAAAAGAAACATTTATATTATTTTATTAAATATATATTCATTTATTTAAATTTATAATAAAATTTATGAAATTATATAAAAAGATTGTTCATAATAAATAAAATCGTATTAAATTATTAATTAATTTTATACAATATAAGCAATAAAAATAACAAATATTTATGCTTAATCAAATAAATTATATCTATTTTTTTTCTATGATAATAATTTTTCAATTTAATATTATTTTTTCTAATTTAAAATAATGCAATATTAAATATTATATTAAATAGAATTATAGTTATTTGGGAATACAATTATAGAAAATATAAAAACTATATTATTTTCTAGTAATTTATTAGTATACATGTTTAATATAACATTATGTATGTATATATAAATATATACACGCGCGTAAGTGTAAATTTGTTTACTGTCAACACCCTGTACGTGTGTGTATGTATGTGTATGTGTTTGTGTTTGATTGTATATGTAATGTTTCTATATATTTATGTATATCTGTACATTTTTGGGAGTTTGTATGCAACATTTAAACATACCTAATAAAATACGTACATCGAAAAATGTACACATGACGTCCTTTTCGCACTTGGTCAGTTTGGAAAAACAAACTTATCTTGTAAAAACCACAGATTCGTTCCATCTTTTTCTTTTATTAATCTACTTCATTCTCGTTTATAGTTCCCATATCCTCTTATTATTTGTAAAATTATACATATTTTTATTCATATAAAAAATTACACGGAGGAAAAATAATTCTTTTTTAACAGAAAATATTGGATTGAGTATATATTTTTGTAAAATTATTTCCAAAAAACAGAGATTGAAACAAAAATTTATAGATAATTTAGTGCTATGATACGATATGAATCGAAGACATTTCTCTTTTAAAATTAAAATAAAAGAATGTGATAGATAGATATTGGGAAGGAAAATAAAGAGTAAAAGATAGAAGAATAAAAGAAATAAAGTGACGGAGAAAGATCTTCGTTTCGTGTCAAAAAAACTTTTCTAATTCACATAATAATAATATACACACATATATACATATATGTATGTATACCATATATTTATATAATATACATATATTTTGTTTAATGTGTTATGCATTTTATAGTACGAAATAATAACGCGTTTTCCTCCACTCAGATTTAATATGAAAAAGATAGTTAAATATTGAGTAAAAACAAATTCGGTTCCACGAGAATGAATTGTATAGTCGGTGCTGTTGTACCTCGTCTATTTCGTTATCAATATGCATATAGTTTTGATAACGCATTATATTATACCGACCAGAATGGCAGCATTGATTCTGTAGAGGTGCGTATTCAATAAAAACTCAGTCTTGTAGAAAAAGTTAGTCTCCTGAATTTCGATGATTAACAGTCACCGATGTAAAACTTTTCTGCCGCAAACACTAGGCATTGTTAACTTTTTCCTCGTAGGAACGAAAAGACTGAATTCCCGAGAACATTCAGTTTCCCGGTTAAAATCTACGAGACTCAACACGCTGCTGCGTGCTTAGCTCTTTGAGCAGCTATTCGTTGACTTCGTCTTAAAGTACGCGGAGGTGATTCTGCATCAGTTTCTTCTTCCGAATCAGAATTATCAAGTGCAGTCTTCCCAGCATATCGCCAACTAACAATGGCACCATCCCACTGAAATAAATTTATTTTATGTAAATGTAATTAATTATAATAATTTTACATTTAAATATAATTTTTTTCAAATATATATATATATATAATACTTACAGACGTAGAAACGATTTCCTGATGGAATGGATGCCAACTAACATCACGTACACATCCTTTGTGTCCTACTAAACTACTAACTATCCTACCTGTTAAGACATCATATACTGAAAAACGGATTCAAAATGGTTAATAAATTTATCGTAATATATAAATTTAATTTTTGATACAAATAAAATAAAAACTTACTTATTACTCGTCCTGCGGCACATCCAGTATAGATATACCTTTGGCCGGTAATAGACGAAGGTGAAAAATGACAACGTATTAAAGTTTGAAGAACGGAATGACCACGATAGGTCATAATGCTAGTATCACCTTCCAACATATTTCTTGCTTTGTGCACTATAATAAAGAAAAAGATTTCTTTGTTTAATTGAGATATGAATTAAGAAAGTATTAAGCATATTTAAATACAAAACAAAAAAAATGTCATTGATTTTGTTATTACTGACATCGCTTTGGTACTCGTTGCCATCGGTAATCCCAATTTTGATTCGCAACAGCTTTACGCGTATTTTGTTCACCATTATGATCAGAAAACGCACGAACATCCCATAATTTAATCGTCTGATCTTTACTATTAGTTATCAAATAACGACCATCACCACGCGGATCAATATACGTTATACCATCCATATGACCAGCTAATACTCCAACAGGATGTGGATCGGTTTCATTCAAAGTCCTTCTGTCCCAAACCTGAGCAAATCACAAAACAAAAGAGTAAATAAAGGAATTAAAAAATAGTATTTATAGATATGTATAAATATATTATAACATATAATAATCAATAATAATCATTATATAAATGGATGATAAATACTTTACAAAGACCATCATCTCCAGCACTGTACAAGATTTGAGAAGTATTGTCTGCAAAAGCAACTGTATTTACATCATTATCATGACCTTCGATCTATAAAAAAAAAAAATAAGTAGGTAATAAGTGATGAAATGCTAAATATCAAAAGAATATTTGTATACATACTCTAAAAGCCCGTTGATGACATTCTCGATCGTAAACATAAAGATAACCATCATTTGCTCCACCTAAAATTTCTCGGCCGTCACTGGAGAATACGAGAGAAAATACACAAAATCTTCGATCTTCTGGACATAATGACAATGATTCTTGTGCACTTGAATCTCCATAAACGGGACATAGATATACTGGAAAGAAAAAAATAAAGGAAACAAGTTTATAATTGATTCATGTTGCTTTCAACAGTATATACTTACAACATTCTGACCAACTAGAATAAACAATATAATTTCCATCAGGACTAAATGCTGTGTCTAAAATACTCCAACCCACATCTCGTGCAGGAATAGTTTTGAATTGTACAAAATCTCCATCATGTGTTCGGTAAAGACGTAAAAATTTATCTGTCAAAATATTTAATGAATTATGTAAAAAATTAAAGCTATAATAAATAATAACTTAACTTTGAATATAAAAAAAAACTTGCCTTGACTGGCAGTTAAGAAAAATCTTCCATCTTTAGAATAAGAACCACAAAATGCTTTGGTACTATATTTAGCAACTTGATGCATTTTATTTGGTAAAAAATTGCTACTTATTCTGCACCTTTCTCCTGTACTAAAACTAGGGCCTAGAGCTCTTTTTTGAATCATTGATGTCACAGACAAATTACGTTTATCAATGTTATCTATAAATCCGCATGCTTGTTTTGTGGCAAGACTTATTTCACTTTTCTAAAAAGGAAAAAACAATAAAATAGAACATTAAGGAATAACTAAAAATAAATTTTTCATATATTTATGAATGACAAACATCTAGTCTGGATGTATTTGGCACAGACGTAATTCTTGGAGGTTGTGAATTTGCAGCATATTCTTCGTCCGAGTCATCATGATCCGAAGATATGATATTCAGTTGACCGCTGCAATTATCAAAACGGAAACTATTAATTTCGATTTTGTAATGATAAAGTCGACAAGAGATGGTGAGAAAGAAGGTTAGGTTATCGAAAGATACAAAACAGATTAAGGTGTCAAAGTATTTTGGCAAAACAAAAAAATACAATAAAGCTAAACGATTTCCTTGAAGGAACCTAATGTTTGCTTTGAAAAAGCAAATTATCACGTATCTACTGAGATATTTAATAAACAACAAATTTTACAAAGAGGTTAGAATTCCTCCTGTTCTTGCTCATTCGTTCTTTCTCTCTCTACCTTTCTGTCATTCGTTTACCATCTCTTTTCTTTTTAGTATCTAAATTTTTTCGATCTCTTTCTATCAACAGGCATACGTATACACACGTTCATAAGAATGATCTACAATGATATTAAACCTTTCGCCTTCGAGATAACATTGAACTAACCTGCGTATCAAATATTGTAAGACAGCAGCGAGCCCTGGATCGTGCTCGATATCCATATTCCGTGAATTAATGCCTCCCATGCAGCGAGCAAATAAATCTTATTTACCGTTTAAAAGCAAACAAGGAAAACGTCCAAGGGTTGATGGCGTTAGTGCAGTGACTATGACAGTTGAAACAGACGATGACAGGAACGGAGAGAGCGCGTGAGAATTTTGCGTGTGTAGAGGGGAGAAGAAAATGGATCGTAATATCTTCAATAGTTGTAATATAAAAGAGTTAATTATTAAAAAAATAATAGATTGAAGTTGTGTTGTGTTTCGAATAATAAGGACATATATGTTTTAAAATTCAGTGAGCGAATGAAGAATGAAGACTGAAAAAAAAACAAAACTCAAAAACGAGTGAGGAGGACGAGAGAAGGCGCGCTTAAAATGTATTTAAATGTCGTTTTCAAATGTCGAAATAACGACGTTAGGAAATTAATTATAATTAATTATCTCGGAATACATCTGTGAATGCTATAAATATGAAACTTTATATGTTATAAATACATAGATATAAAATTCTGAAGGCGATTAAATATGTCATATATATTATCGATCATTTTTAATCGATTTTTAAAAAAGGTAAATTACATATCATTGATTCTATCGATAGATCGAAAATATTAAGTAATATAATAATATTAAAAATGAAAGATTTTTACATTTTTGATATAAATTTTCTATAAATTTTTTTTCTTTTTATAAATTTAAAATTAAAATTACTTAATTTAAGAAATTATAAATATTTTATAAAATAATTACAAATATGAATTTCTTATGAAAGTGATTTAAATTATCGTACGTTTTTTTTATGCGTAAATATATATATATAATCGATGTGTGATGTATAATCGATATATATATATATATATAATCGTTTATTTCGATTTATAATATCGATCAAATAATTAAAAACTTGATTGATACAGCAACTTTAATCAAACATTTTAATAAATGTATTATTTTCACATAAGTTATAGAAGAAAAAAAGAAAATTAAGTAGTATTTTTTAACAGAAAATATAAAAAAATATTTGATTAAATAATTTGACATGAATTTATAATCATTTAATCAATAAGAAAATTTGTAATGTATATACAGAGGAATTAGTTATGTATAAATATATATAAATGTGTGTATACATATATAGCATGTATACACATTACATATACATATTATGCATATACATAAGAATTAATTTGACCTATTTTCACCTTCTCTTCACCTTTTCCAATCCCACGCTTCCTGCTTCTGTCGTTTGTTCTTCTCATTTTCCCGTCCCACCACATTCGTAAATTGTAATCCATAATTGGTAATCCGTAATCTGTAAGCTGCGATAGGGTAACCCCTACCTCTCCCAGTTAATTCTCCCTACTTTTAGACCAAAGTATGGCATCCCCTAACCCCTATCCGCTATCCCGTGACCCGCAGCCGCAGCTACCTGCAGCCCAGACCTATAATTTCCAGGCAGAGACCTACACCCTGGCCAGAGCCGGAACCAAGCTGGAGCCGAGGTCGTAGCCAAAGCCATAGCCGGGATCGGAGGACGCGCATGCGTCTTTTTATCATTTCCTTGCGACTTTCTCGCTCTTCCATCGAATATATCAACGTTAATTCGTACAACGTTCATCATCGAGAACAAAAAAGAGGTCGAAAACGAAGACGAAAGTTTTATAATGTTATCGATTATCGCAATGATAATGCCAACTTACACCATTATCGTTATTATTAATTAACTCGGCAAATACTCGAAAACGAAGACGGAAATAGTGCCGGGAATAAGGACAAGAACAAGGATAAGAACAAGAACAAAGACGAAAATAGACGCGAATACGAGAGCAACGAAAACAGCAATAATAACGACGTTTAATACGTCTCAAGTGTCAGATATCACGTTAGTGAAGACGACAAATGAAAGAACAGGAAAAAGAAGGAAAATAAAAACGTGGATTAGACGACGGAAGAAAGGAAGAAATAAAGATACGTTGATTTTCGAATATCGAAAACGAACGATCAAAGTGTCCATGGCATGATGGTTATTGAATTGTTCAATATCAGTGATGATATTTAAGTGACAGTTTGAAGAAAAGGAAGAAAAGATTATCGAAAAGTGTGTGACAATTCGTATCGAATAGTGATGCAGTCGCGCGTCAATCGTGCCCTACTGTTCCTTTGGATTCCTCGCGCGATCCTCGCGCGGCGCGCGCGTGCTCCGAACTATCGCGCATCGCGCATTACCCTTCTTTCGGTTTCTTCATGCTTATAGTGCTTCTATTCTCGTTGTCGTCGGCAACAGGTGAGTCATTCTGAACTTTCAGTAGTTCTACATTTTTTTCTTCGTCCCCTTTATCAATCTTTTTTCCACTGTTTCCTTTTGTTTTCTCTCTCCCTCCTTCGCCATACTCTCTCTTTTTCATTCTAAATGCATCTATATTCTTATTATATCCTTCCTTCTCGTCTTTCTCCAGTTCTCTTTTCGTTTCTTCTATTTTATCTAATCTTCTCCATGTATTTGAATCTCGTTTTTTTTTTTTTCATTTATTGTTTTATCATAATTTCATTAATACATTACTGGTTACTAGTATCTAATTTTGTCATATTATTCAACGAAGGGCAACAAATTATTCGTAGGCGATTATTCGTCATAATGATAAACTGCTATTTGCTTCTTTGAATAATTGACCGAGCAATGCATGGATTATACATATTCGAATCGATCGAGTTCTCTGCGGATTTGTGTTAAATGAATCAAGTTTCAATTGAGCATAGTCATCTGGATGGATAATTTCGATGAATATGGTATCGATATGCCATTCTTAAATTTCTCGCTTTATACGTATATCGATATTGATTCCTGATGAGAATTAAAGTCGTGAGATCACATTTTAAACAATCTGTTCAATATCGTTAATTCTGGACAGCTTCATTGAATGAGTCATAGATTTCAATCAAATTTTTGATAACTTTCGCAACGTTTCGAATGTTTCGTTATTCGAGAAAAATTACAAATATCGCGCTATTTCTTTCCTATCGATCATATCATCGATACAAATTTTTTATCCTAAATCAAAACTTAATGTTTATTAATTATTACCTCTTGAAACAAAAAACAAAACTGTCACTAATAAATAATTTTTCCATTTTTCCAATCATACATCAAATTACATCATTGAAAATTATTTTATAAAGCAATTTTTTGATCTTTAAACCCAGTGAAATTTAATTTAAATAAATATTAAAATTCGAACAAATCTTTTCTCATCTATTCACATTTTGGACAAATCTATATGAAAAAAAAACATAAAAAAAAATAAGTAAATTAATCAAGAATACAGTTTCTCTGAAAATCCTTCACACTCTTGTATTTATCTAACTCGAGGATGAACGAACGAAAAATGCGTTTATTTCTGATTGTTACGACGATTCAAAATGATGCGATCTTATCGGATGCGATCCGCTTTTATCTTTCGAATTATACTCATTCGTCGCGGAGCACGTATACAGGATTGCCTATGAGGAGGTACTATGAGGTGGTAAATCGATAAGGAGTTGCGTAAGGAGAAGAAGAGAAAGTAGAGCCGCAAATTCAGAAGGGAGAAAGAAAAAAAAAAAAGACGTGAATAGGGAAATTGGGGAAAACATTGGGATATATTTAAATATGAGAATGATCGATTATCATTGTTCGACTGAAGAATATGTCAATTTAAAGAAAGATTTATGCTTGATCAGGCTATAGCAGGTGTGTGTCTGTCGTCCGATAAGACGATTACAAAAGGAAATTGAAAGAAGCGATTGATACACGATCGAAAGTGATTCGATGAACATTGAGGATTAACATAAGTGTCGTTATGTTTGCCAAGTCGAAAAGTAGTGGCTCGACACCGAGCGTTCTACTTCCTAATCCTCTTCAGAATTTGTACGACGTTGGCAAACAAACGGCTACAGCAGGACCCGAAAACGCCTGGCGTATATACAATGGATACACGAAAGCGGATCGAAAGGTAATATCTCAAAACTTTTTTATCCAATTCTTTCGTTTAGGATGCGAATATATATATTTTCAAAGTAAAACTCTCGAGATTTATTCTCCACAATTATTTTTCTATCATCGCGTAATCAATGTCGTCTCACTTCTTTGAAAAAGGACAATTCTCTCGAAAGTTTTACTCTCAAAAAGCGTGCAATACCCTTATTCGTTATTCGTTAATATTAATTCTCGATGCAACGATATTCTTTTTTTCCTAAAAAAAAGAATAGTATCCGTGAAAAATTTTGTTCTTAAAATTAATTCTTTCTCTTTCATTTTAGGAAGTCTCGATATTTTTCTTCGACAAAAGATCGGTCGATAAACTTCACAAGCCGAAGCGGAAAGAAGCGGTTACGGAAATTTTACGAAACGGAGCACGACAAATGGAACGAGTTTCTCATCCAAAGATCCTGCAGGTAAGATGTTTCCTTTTTTTTCCATTTTTTTTTTCTCATTTCATTGCTTTCGTATACGAAGCGTGATCGCTCTAGAATTTGTCTATCTTTCTAGGCATACAAGGTGGAAGAATGCGCTGATAGTTTGGCATTCGCGTCGGAGCCAGTTCTCGCTAGTCTTGCGAACGTTTTAGCTTATCAAGAGCAACGAGCGAATAACGTCGGCCAATCGTCGACTAACGTAACGAAACAAACTTCTTCAACCCCTAGTCATCGTGCTCCGTTCACGAAAGAGTACGAGTTACTCGATATAGAGATCAAATATGGATTGTTGCAGGTGAGAAATCCATCGATTTTATATTAAATATCCACTTAAATTTATCTTAGACTATGGATACCTTTTTTTCCTTTTCTCTTGTATTTTCTTTTTTCCTCTTCTCTCTCTTTCTCTTTTTCTCTCTCTTTCCTTAGATCACAGAGGCTTTACTTTATCTTCACGGAACACGCAAAGTCCTTCACAGGAACGTTTGTCCCGCGAGCATTATAATTACCAAAAGGGGCACTTGGAAATTGTCAGGTCTCGAATTTATCGGTAAGTGACAGTTTAATTTTTGATGTGAGCAATTCTCGAATTCAATATATATATTCTTTTTTATTTTTTCTAGAAAAAATGAAGGAGTTGCCAATGATATCGTTGCAACCTTGGACCAATCGCATGTCAAAAATGACGCAACCGAATCTCGATTACATAGGTAAGGATATGAAAATGGTAAGAATTAGATGGAGCTTCAAATTCATTAATCTATCTTTCAATTTTTCACATTGTCAAATATTCGTAATCTCGTGTATATAGCACCGGAAATACAGCAAAAGAAAGAGGGGGGCTTCTATAGCGACATGTACAGCTTTGGTATGACGATATGCGCAATTTTCAATCAAGGGCGACCATTGATTCAAGCGAATCATAACTGTTCCGAGTATTTAAAACAATTAGAAAACGTAAGTAATCAGATGAAATTTTGATTCGAAATTTCTCTTTGCGCGTATTCTTTTTGCATACGTGCCACGATTTATATTATTATACGTGATATCTTTTTCCTTTTCAATATTTTAGACAATATTTAATTATCTCCCCCCTTCTTTATTCCCATAGCTCGAAGAACAAGTTCATGTGATATTACCTTTAGTTCCCCTTCCTCTTCGAGAAGCTGTTTCTCGACTTTTACACATCGATCCAGAGAAGAGGCCAACCATTCAAGTTTTATCCATGATCAAGTATTTTCAGTATGTAATTTTTATTCTAAATGTATCTTTTATACATTTCTTTTCTAAAAGAAAAAAAAAAAGAAAAAAAGTAACTTTTTATTTTATCTTTCAGAGATCCACCCGTATACGCGCTTCAATTTCTCGATGTCAGTAAGATGAAAGACGCGTTGCAAAAGGAGCATTTTTATACAACTACTTTAAAAGGAATATTACCTTATATACCAAGGGTAATATTTATATACAAGAATAATATAAGGATTTTTCTACTATGATACAAAGATGAAAGCGTATTTGAATTTATAGAAACTTTGGTATCAACATATTTGGACGTATCTGCAAACTGAATTGGAAAGTGAAGAAGTTCAATCGGCTGTACTACAACCGGTACTTTATATCGTGCAAAATAGTACACAAGAGGAATACGATCAAATTGTATTTCCATCGTTACGGTAAGTGTTATAGAAAGATTAATTCTTTTTCTTATTTATATTCGTACAATTAATTTACTCGCGTAGATCGCTTTTCTCGAATCGTAAATCGGTTCACGGAACGGTTACGTTGCTGGAAAATTTGCATTTGATATTAAAAAAAACATCTCGAGAATATATAGAAAGCGAAGTGCTTCCGATGTTGTACACATCCTTTGAGAATTCAACTACTCAAGTGCAGGTACGTAGATATGGGAATAATTAGAAAGAATGAATTATATAAATATAAATTACAATCACATGTAAAATTTTAAGATAAGAAAATAGTTATTTAATGTTCTAATACAAATAAAATCTTCTAATGTCATACATCGTGTGATTTCAACTTGATATTTTTATTTTAAAAATAATAAAGTTTATTACATTGAAAAATTGTTTCGTAGACTGCAGCGTTCGTAGCCGTTTCGAATGTGACTGATTACATACACGACGAGGCTGTTCGAAACATCGTGTTGCCGAAATTACTTCAAGCATTTGAAAAAAATTTAGTGGATTCCCGAATACTTATGAACGTGATACCCTGTATTTTAAATCGTTTGGAAAAGCAAAAAATCATCGATTGTATCTTACCATTATTGTTCAATGTAAAACTTCAAGAACCGGAGATAATCGTACGGGTTGTGAGTAAGTAATATATCATCTTTTTATCCTTATTACGTTATGTCACGTATACATACCTCCTTATAAAAAAATCTTACAATCTTATTCGATATTAAAATTGTTGTAATATATTATATAATATAAAACTTATATAATATACTTATATAATATAAAATATAAATAACTATATGGCATTACTATGCGTATATAATATATGGCATTAATATACATATATTAAAGTCATTATAATATGTATATATCATTATAGTAAAGTCATATATTATATAATATTGATATATTTATTGGATACTTAGAAAGATAGATTCTAAAGATGAAAACAAACACAAAAATTAATATATAAAGATTTCGTTTAATTTAAATTGCTAATATGCATTTATTGGACATTTTTGTGTTCGTTTTTTTTATATATTGTATCATCTAGAATTAATTTTCCAATAGTGTCTCACGATATATTAATATCTTATATATATTATGAAACACGAAAAACAATGATTGGTTTGTAACTTTCGAATGGAGTGTATTCATACGTATGTATATATACAGATACACAATACATAATTATTGTTGCTGATGGATTGCAGTTACAATTCGATTTCTACAGAGATTTACAGATTAATGTTAAACGACAAAAAATATGGATTATCTGTGAATTGGATGGCAACTAGAGCAATGCCTTCTTTACTACCTCAAACTATTAACCCAGCATTGAATCTCGAGCAGTTTGAACTACTTCTCAAAGTGTTACAAGATATGTTGAATCACATCGAAAGGTGAAGCAAAAATCTTATTATAGATTTTACTTACAAATTTTTATCACTGATAATGAGATCATGAATAATCGATATTTTTTTTTTTTATCTTTCTTATATTTTCTTTTTTTCTTTTCATTTCTCTTCAATTTTT